GGCAATACTCTTAAGTGAAATAAATAGGACACACATGTGTAAATACTGAATAGTTTCTCTAGTGTGAGAAACTGAAAGTGTAAATAAGGACTAAATGGTATAGTAGATAATGTGAAATAGGAAGAAAAGGGGCAAAGGGGAAGGCGAAGTGGGAGGGGTAGGGGAAAGGAAGGAAGGGAATGGAATTAATATGAGAAAATGAAAACATGGAAACAAAGTCTTTGTAAATAGGAAGGAGTGGAGGGTTTGAAGGGAGGGCAGGGGAAGGGGGAAAATAAGAACCAAGAGAGATATGTAAAGGTGTAAATTTTCAATGATGAATTTCATTATATTGTATACCTAAATTGTACCAACAAAATAAAATTTAAAAAAAATTGTAAGCTAAACTGAGTGGTACAGTATTGTTAGTATAATAAACATGACTTAGATCACATTAGTGGAATTGTAACTCACTTCATAGTTATAGAAATGTCCGTTAATAGAGGCCCTGTGGAAGTGCTGTTCTTTTCTGTCCACTATCAAAGGCTTTGTCCTTTTTCTCACCAGGGCTGCTTCACTCATAGTTCTGTAGAGCAATGGGGATTCTGGTTCTTCATCTGCATATGGGTTCAGAGTTCTGCTGTGATAAGATAAATAATCAAGGAAGAATAAAGATTAAAAGCCAATGTCACTCAGGCTCCTGTCTTCTTGCATCTTGGGTAGATTGGTATATACCTTCAATATTTTCATTAAATTTAGAAATGTTGCTTGCTATTTCCCAGATGTTTAAAACATTGTAATCTAGTACCTGGCCACATATATATATATATATATATATATATTTTTTTTTTTTCTCAGACTGGAGAGAAAATTCTGCCAATGAATTGTATCTCAAGAAATGATCACAATGAGCTCATGTTTAGGGTTTGAGCACTCTTTTAATTTTAATGTATTGTGAGTGAGGTGAATTTTATAGACTTTCAAAATCTTAGAGCTAGCAAAAACTTGATATTCTATCAGTTTGATCTCACAATATTTGAAGTAGCTTGTGTATGAACACAGACAAATGATGAGATCAGATCAGGATTCTTGTTTACCTTGGTTCCAAGGTTATTGCACCTTTCCATAGAAGATGAACAGTGGGCAAAGCCATTCATATGGAATGTGGAGCCTTAAAAGATTTTGTTCCCAACTTCCATGAAAGCAAAAGTAGCAATATGCTTTGTTTGATTTTTGGTACCAGGGATTGAACTTGGGACCTTGCACTTGTGAGGCAGGTGCTGGAATCATTGAGCTACATCCTGGCCCAGCAATATGCTTTTTACTAGTGCCTAGGAGTAATATATGACAGAGATAATCTACATAATATTATTTCCCAAATACTCCAAGGATGTGATGATTTTTTTCCCCTTAATTGATCACTGTCCTGGTATTTTTTTTTCCTCACTGGGGCATATGTGTTCAGCAATGATCCATAATCCATTAATCAAAATTAGATTACTGTGTCATTCCAATTTCTATAGTAGGTTTTAGTATATGAAATTATAGTACAGCATTGCACTGACCTGCTATCTTTTGGGTGGGTACAGAACTTAATGGAAGTGGATTAGCTACCACGTATTTCTAAGCTAACATGCAAAAGATTCAAAGCTGCCTCCTGCACCATCTTTTCCAATTTTCTCAATTAAGCATTTTCTTCTGTAAGAATAGGGCCACCTGGTGGCATTTGTGTTCCATTTTACTTTGGGATTTTAAACAATATTCTACTATAATTAGAGCAGCATCATATTTCATCTTTCTCTAGCACTGGTGATTAAATACAAATAGATTTTTATCTTTGGTGCCAAGATTTGGAGTTCCTCTGGGTTTAATGGGTATCTTCAAGGGGACAATTAGAAGAGCATGATGTAACATGATGTCAAGATCCCTGAAGGAAGAACCCTAAAGGAAAATCATGTTTGTTATGGGATCTGAGTCCTGATGGAGACAGCAGAGAGGCAAAATTGAGAATTGTTTAAAACAAAAATAAAAACTAAACATTAGAAGTTGTTGGTAAACTTATGAGTGAATGCAAGCAGGATATCCTTGATAAGTCTGAACCTGGCTTGGTAATATCACGGCCCCAGGTTATGTATATGATCCCTGTGGCCCCATCCCACAGTTTAGTCACCAGCTCCTCCTTGCATATCTATATATAAGAAAAAATTCATGTAAAATACAAAGTACTATACCTGACAGTGGAGTTTCAGTCAATTATAGCTACCAGTAATATTAGGATTAGTATCATCATCATTGTTATTACAACTACTATGTTCATTAGTGAGATTAGCCTATAGTTCTCTTTTTTGGTTGGGTCTTTCTCTGCTTTGGGGATCAAGGTGATGCTTGCTTCCAGGAATGAATTTGGGAGTATTGCTTCCCTTTC